CATAATTACCCCCAGGGAGCTCGTAGTCTGCTCCATTATTGCTGCAATACATCAGATCCAAGGATGACTGTAGAGTCTGTCGAGTTCCGTACGCATTTATCTTGTCCATTTTGACGTTTCTTGGCCAGTGTCTTTACCATCTGTGAATAACATCAGATTTTGAAGGTAACAGGAAGCAGAGAATTAGTTTTCATAACCTTCAGAGAATCCAAAAGAGACTCTCGTGATATTGTCTTTTTTTTCTTTTCAACGATTACTTTCAAAAGCAGAAATCTGCATGTGGTTGTCGTGGCATGTTTACAAAAGACTCTTTAGAAATCTGTTTCTGATTAAGTCTTTGTTTGTCCTGATTTTGTGCTAAAAAGAGAGGAGGCTTATTGCTTCTCTCTGACTCAGCTGAATTCTCTCCACTGTCTAAACCGAAGACCCTCCTCAAAAGAGCCGTTGGGAGGAGGCCCGGCACGCGGCCCGTTTCCTCCCTCCTCCTGACGGTGTTGTCTCGAGTCAGATCCAGAGACTCTTGGGCAGCCAGGTTCCACCGTCCGTCAGCAAGGCCAGTGTGAGTTGATGCATCATGCATTATAGATAAGGTGTGTCTGGGGCGAGCTCACATGGGTGTTTGCAGTCAGAGTGCTCCAGTGCGGGCGCCGTCAGGCTCACAAGCTGAAGGCTAAAGCATGACATGTTGTTTGTGCTGTTTGTGTCGCAGCAGAAACACAACCGGACTCAGTTATTCATTTGTCTTTTGAGGCTCGTGTCTAAACCATGCAACCAGCTCTGTGTGTGTTCTGCGTTACGGACGAGCCTCGCTTCCTCGCAGCGGCTACTGTCGGGTCCAGACACAGTGTGGCCGACACCCTTTATCCTGAGGTCCTGGGAGCCTCGGTATCCGTGGCAGCCACCATCTCACACCTCTTGGGACCGCCGGTTTCCTCCTCTGTTATTATGACTATATATAGACCCTCTCCTTTGGTACCAGATGTCTTTGTGCTGTGCTCCTGTTATGATGAGGCCTAAATGAGCTGTTTAACTTGCATACAGCGGACCAAGTCAAATCCACCACTATGGTTAAAAGAAGTAAAAAAGAAAACATGCAACACACTTTGATGTTTGGCACGACTCTTCTGGACTGACTTTTCTTGAATTCCTCCTGCTGTGTGGGACATCCGTGATAATTCCAGCTAGTTTGTTATATTTGCTGTCTGAGGTTTGATGTGTAGGAAGCTCTTGTAACAGCAGCACTGCTTTACATGACACCAGTGGACTGAGAATCTGTATCCATTTACATCTTGTCTGGGTGTAACACCTTAAAACAGAAGATACAATTTGATAATAATTACTGTTATATAGAGCTGAAACAAGTTGTCAATTAACTGATTAGTCAGTTAACAGAAAATGAATCGGCAACTTTGGTTCCAGCTTCGCAATCGTGACTGGTTTTCTAGTTTTTGCATTGTTGGTTCATACAAACAAAATATTGCAGGATGTCGTTGCGCACTTTTTTCTCTTTACTGGTATTGTACAGACCAAATGATTAATTGATGTTATATTATTGTTATATTATTGACAATAATGAGAGTTTGCTTCTAATTCTCATTTTAAAGCCTTGAATCCATACACAGAGCTCAGTTACCAACCATGTTAAACTGTGCTTTTTCTGGAACAGGAAACAACTGGGGCAAGAAAGTGAGAGCTGGGATGAAACAGCAAGTGATAGCAGATAATATATATAAGATAGTTAGGTGGCCACAGGCCTCCGAGAGAGATCTAAAGTGGGAGATTTGAGATAAAACCACAGCCTGGGGCAAAAAAGGAGACACCCAAATGGTCCCATTACCCCAACTAAATGCTGAGCCCCCTGTGGCTTCTCCTAAATGAATGCAGCTGTAAAAGCAAAAGGTCTGCCTTTCAATCTGCTTGCCAATGTCTGTGTTTGGGGTTCTTTTTCAGTGAAGGTGGAAAGGGAATACAAGGTTCCAGGCAAAAATTGCCTACCACCAGCTAGAAGTGGTCCAAAATAGCCGTCAGGAAAATCACGGCCTTGCTGTTTTTATAGACACCAGGAATGCAGTGAATGAGACCTGGGCGCTCTGTGCTGTAGTTTCTCATTCAAGCTGCCTCCGAGCTCGAAGAAGAGGAACACACCAACCAACCTCTGCGATCATCTCTTAAATCCTGGTAGTTCCTCTCGGCTGGTGAGCCGATCCTGGGAACAGGACAGGATAGAGATTAAAGTTCACTCTGGATAATGTATTCATGACTAGATCAAAGTTGGCTTCTTATTCTCGGCAGGTTTAAGCTTATTTAATGCTGAAACCTGCAGCCCCCTGGCCTCTGAGAGAAGCTCAGGCTGCCCGACTTGGAAAAGTATCACATTTACTGCTCCTGCAGTTGCCCTATCTCTCCTGCATTAGTAATTTCCTTGTATACCTGTTACCATGGCAATCAAGGACGAGGATGATTTTTTTCCTCTATAAATAATTTAGAAGCTTGTATATTTCGTCGAGCGAGGGCAGCATTTTAAAACCCTAATGATGTTGGTGGTTGTGCAGGTGTATGACTCTGGTCGGATGTTGCTCAGTGTTGCAGTCAGAGACATTTAAACTCAGTTCAAACAACGGGTCCAGCAAATGGAAAGCGCTCCCTTGCTAGCCTCATGCAGCTAAGGATGAAAGAAATAACCTGTTGTTTACCAAAGGACGTGAATACGCATGATCTGCTATCTCTGTGATGTTTTTGATCTTCGTTATCTCTTCTGATGTGTACAAACAGGCTCAGAGGCCCGCCATGTTTCCCCAATCTCAAAACCGATGCAGTGATTATTATCGGTGAAACTGCGTCACAGCCGTTCCTCTTTATAATTATAGAGCAGTAGCCTATTTAGTTAAACTGACCGTCTCCTCTGGCTGCCGACAAAGTAGTCCAGTTCCACAGTGACATGTTGTGCCCCAGCGACATGGCAGGGAGTTCGGAGCTCAAAAGATTACGAGAACTTCCTATCCTCAGGGGTCAGAGCTATACTACTCATTTCCTGTTCTCCGCTGGGTCAGGCTTTACGCTTACATACATGAGGCAGGGTGGGCGGCGTGAAGGTTTCAGCATTTAGCGCCTCACAGCGAGAAGGTGCTGCCCTGGTTCTTAATGTGAAAAGCTTCCTCCCACAGTCAAAGACCATGTGTACACCAAAGTAGAACCATTAAAAAAAAACAAAAAAAACCCATCATTTTCTTTCCATCCACCCACAGTAAACCCACATTTTGCGCCCAGCTGAGCTTTTTGAAAATACTTTACCAAGTGAGTGATTTTGCAGCAGCCAGACTGATGTTGTAGTGTGGAGAAGCAAAAGAAAGTACTCTCTTCAAAAACAACTGACATTTGATTTTCAACCTTTGCCAAGAACAAATATTTGACCTCCACCTTTCTCTGTGATCACATTTTTTTTTTTTAAATTCTCATCCCTCATCCCAGATTTCCACTGAAAAAATAAACGCCAGAATTCTTTTAATGAAACGGTTCTATTTAAGTTGATTTTCAAACATATCGCTTCCTGCGGAAGAAGAGCAGTGTTAACTGCATTTTTAACAATACTCATTGTAAGTACTTAAAACGAGAACAGCCCAGAAAGTGAAAGTGACAAGACGAGTGAGAGGGAGACAGATGGTGGGCAGAAAACAAATGAGTTCCTGAGCGTGTGGTACTTCAAAGTAAAATATACTCAGTGGTGTTTTTAAACTGATATTTTCATCCACATTTTTGTATTGAGTTTTTTCGCGGCGTGGCATGGCTCTAGAGGTGGCAATTTTATACGAACATTGATTTAAAAAAAAAACACTTCATATGATGCCATCACTGAAAACAGCCAGCAAAATATGTCAGAGAGACATGACAGTTTACATGTCATGAAAAGTGCTATGTAAACCTAAGAAGGAAAGGTGCAGACTTGATTTACTTGCAATTAAATGTGCCATGAAATTAAAATTGCCTGTCCTTGCTAAGACTGACTTTGTATATCTGTCAAAACTTAATTCAATCACACTCTTCACTAGAATTTGGCTGTAATACAACATTGGGAAGTGCCAACTGCCATTAAACCAAAAGAAGAAGAAAAAGATGCATGTTTTTCTGTTCTGGCGCTTCAGTATGGTTTGCAAACTAAAGTGAACCATCTGAAAACACAAATTACAGCCAGAAAATGTCTAAAAGTTCGATGTCATTTTCATCTTTATTTGTTTTGTTTAAATCATGATGATGAGATTAGGGCTGGATGAGAATGTAATACTTCTATCATTAGCTCTGGAATAAATATAAAATACATTTAAAAATTTAGGATTAAGATATTTTTATTTTTTATTATGGGATTTGTTTTTAACTGTAAACATACTGTACATATATGTTAAGGTGTGTGTGTGTGTGTGTGTGTGTGTGTGTGTGTGTGTGTGTGTGTGTGTGTGTGTGTGTGTGTGTTTATTTATGCCTGCATGTGAGTACTTAGTAATTGTCACATTATTAATTTCATCTATATTACTCAGATTCAGTGTGAATGTGTGTCCTGTGATAGATCAGTGACCCAGTCAGGTTGCTTCCCTGCCTTTTGCCTAATTCTGCCTGACTCCCTTGAACGGGGAGAAGCAATTAATGAATGAGGCCAGATTGTCCATTGTTGCCATTGAAAGAAAGGCTGTTTGAATGACTGTTTTAAAGGGTCATATTTCAGTAGTGTGCTACACAGAGAGAAAATTTATGGATTATGGATAATTAAATAATGACATTAAGTAAAGGATTTTCTCATCCAAAGTGTAAAGGTTTATTCAGTTGTGCAATTAAAAGCCTTTTGAAGCATAAAGCATCTGTTATTACCAAGTTCTGAAAGGGTAATTGCCTGTTAAACTGTAAGTTCAGGAAAAATGCTAGGGCTCAACAAACGCACTGATTGCCTCCGTACAGCTCGTCAGCATCAGTTTTTTGCCGAGTCTTATTCGTGCGTCTGTGTCTGTCCTCAGGTACGAGAAGGTTCCTGTGATCCTGGTGGGGAACAAGGTGGACCTGGAGAGCGAGCGGGAGGTATCGTCCAGTGAAGGCCAGGCCCTGGCCGAGGAGTGGGGCTGCCCGTTCATGGAGACATCAGCCAAGAGCAAAACCATGGTAGACGAACTGTTCGCTGAGATCGTTCGGCAGATGGACTACGCCGCCCAGCCAGACAAGGATGACCCCTGCTGCTCTTCTTGCAATATACAATAGCCCCGGGGGCCTCCAGGAACAGGCCAGGCAAAAAAAAAAAAAAAAGTCTACTTTCGACTCACAGCAGAGAGATACACACTCGGACACACACACACACACACACACACACAAACACACACACATGCACATGCCAATTAAACGGAAGATAAATTCATGGTTGAACGCAATGGATGTTAACTCTATGGAGCATAAAATCTGCAGTGACATGATTATTAATAACGACATGTGAGTAATGAATACGTTTTGAATGAGGAATGCCAGGAATTTGCTGCAAGAGAAATTGACAAATGACAAAAAGGAACGTGCCCTCGCCTTATGTTACTCTCTTTTGTTGTTTGTTTTCATCCTCTCATCAGCAAAGAATCACAGATCAGGATCACTACTCTTTAGGTTGTTAAACAATCTGATATAAATGAGTAAAAAAAAAGTTTTCTCCTGGTTTTGTCTGTTTCGCACAAAACACAGAGATGCATTTTTTTATTATTATTATTATTATTATTATTATTATTACCCTGACTCGGTTGCAAGTAGCTACTGTACACTAACCCAATAACATATTTCTGGGATCCAGTTGTTTCAAACACTGAGGAGTATTTTATTTGCAGTATGTACACTTTTTTTCTCCCAGCTTTGTCTGTGTAGTGGTCAGTGGGAGGTTTTTCATCACAGGGCTGAACCAAAGAGGTGACCTGAAAGCACCTCTATTATATATATATATATAAAATTTCAGCTGTTAAAAAAAGGAATGGAGAGAAAACGGTGGATAAGTCAGTGTCTTTTCTTCAAACATTTGGTGCAGTCATCTCTTTCCTATTTTCTCATTTTTGAGATATAATGGTAAACATAGCAGAGTCACATATTGTGTGATGTTTTGTTTTCCTCCCGAGGGAAGACTGACGGCAGATCGCTGAGTGGTAGTATAACTAACTGTTTCATCCTGATGGGACAAACAGTTCATCTTTTCAGTGTTTGAATATCTCTACAGACGATCTCTCGAAACTCTTTTCAGGAATGGGTGACATTTAAAGTGAAGATGCTAACATTTGTCATACTTTGCATTTTTCTTTTTCTCTCCTCTGGTATCAATATGAAATGGGGTGCTCAAGCGTTTCAACATCCTGATCCCATTCTTTATGTGCTCAGAGTATTCAAATCCATAGTAACAAATAGTAACGACGAAGGCGATGATACTAAGAATAATAAATGGTAGTGTAAATATTTTGTATTGAAAGTGCCAGCTCCTATGAAGACACTGACTCAACACATGTGGAATTGTCAACTGTATGCATGGCTAGTAAACAAAAAAAGGACTCTTATTGTTTGAGATTAATATAGGCTGTGGAAATGTGCAAACCAAACACATACACGTCTGGATCTGGACATTGTCTCAACTGTACATCTATGTTGCCACGGGAACCAGACTCTCCCCGTGTAACCATTTTCATTGTTGATTTTATATTTTTTTATGTGACCATTTACTCTTTATTCCCTCTCTGAATGGTGACACTGTTACATTTGACACCTAAACAATAAAAGTGCGTTCAACACTCAACTGAGGCTACCAAGCTTGAGTGAAATGAAAGTGAATGGACTGACACGCTCATCATTCCTCTGTTGTGTAACCAAACTGCTTCTTTTTACGTTTGTGCTTGTACTCTACATGATAACTATGTGAACATTTCTTTTATATTTCACAGAGGCCGCTTGAACACTCTCGTATAAAGCAGATGTTTTCAAAGTCTGACACCGTAGACAACCCACCCCCACCCCCCCGAGTAAATTGCCTGTTAGCTGATAAATTGGCACCATTAAAAGTATGTGGAGTTAGCGGTTAGCAGTTCCTGTTTATGATGTACCCCCTGATGTACAGACAACTATCGGTGGATTACTTTGATACTGAAGAAAACTTAAAAATGTGATGATGCTCAGGCAAGTTCTGGACTTATAATGAGCGTCTTTTTCTTATTTTATTTATGGGCGTTTATTTATGGATGGACAACAGAGATAATGATATCCTCGGGGAGTGTGGTCCCACTGAATCTAACAATATGTGAATCGACAACGGTTTGAAAACCCTCTGCTTTACACGATGAGTGTGTGCCACAAACACCTTGACACCACTTGGCCTTATTTCCTCACCAGCTGAAAAGCAACACAAACTCGTGTTGAGATGACTACCGCTGCGGGTGAGGATGACCTTGCACCCACCCTCCACTCTGATGCTGCACTGCCTCCCTGGGTCCCATAGACGCAGCTAATCCACATGCGGTCCGTTACATCTTCCTGGCAGCTCGGCATGCTTTGTTGGTGGTTCCAAGCGTTGATGACATTGACGCTGCCATGTAAGTTGGTGCAAGTTGACTTACAAAAATAGAATAAAAGTTCATGCCCCTCACCATCACTACTGCAATTTCTGTTTCAACTGAGTGAGGCTGAATGAAAGAAGTGAAACAAAATATAAATTCAGTCTGATTATCAGGCTGTTCAGGCAACTTAGTAAAGCAATCTTTGACAGGGCAAACCAAGACTTCGGTCAGCCATAGAGAGTGTCGATCAAACTCTAAAACCTCATCCAAAACATCATTCACATTTGTAACTATGCTAAAAACTCGAAATACAGCCTCAGAAACTCAACTGTATGTATTGTGGCTCACTTCATATGTCTTGATAAGAACTGTAGTCTTTTGAAAAGCAATCAAACGTTGTCTAACATCTCCCATCATCCCCAGCTAAACGTCGCAGCTCAACAGAAGAGGCCAGTGCATGAGGTAGCTGAAAGGGTCAGTTCAGAAATGTCTGTACTAACAGCAGGGCAGAGAGGACTGAAGGCTGTCGAAGTTTTTAGACAGCATCACAACTTTAGCTCAGATCTTCATCGTCATCAACTGCACCAAACTCCCCCTCAGTTATTCACCACCAAGCACTTTGCCCAGGTCCCTTCCAACTTGCGACCAGCCAGCTTGTGGTTTGAACAATGTCGAACAAGAGCATGGTCCTGTTTTCCCCCAATGGGTGTCATTTTGTTGTTCAAGCCAAAGAGAGAGAGACGGCGATTCTTTATGGGAGCCAGCTCTCTCCCTCTCTCCCACGGCTCGACGTGAGAGCGATGGAGCCGTCGTGCTGCTTACTGCGGTTCTGACGTTGAAGATAACTGAGGAGAGCTTCCTCTTGAGCTTGGTAGCCCCAGGCGGCACTGTCTTCTTCACTAACACACAGTTCTTTTGGTGGTTTGCAGGAATTTCAGACTCAAGAAAGACGTCCAAACATAGTCACTGCTGCACATGCATTATTCCAGCTCGACTCAGCCAAGGTATACTGCTGTTTGGTTTCACTGGGTCTGATGGTGGCTGCTTCAGCTGCGGGTTCTTTAAAGCCCTGGCGTGGTCTGAAAATGTCAGTACCCTTGTCACTGTCGGTGGCTATGTGTGGCGCTGGCTTAAATAAAAGTGTCACACGGCTCTGTCCAACGCACCAGTTCTTGTCTTTTCCCTCTAATAATAAGAAGTAACTCTACGGTCTGATCCTGTTTTTCAGCCTGATGTCATTGAATTACTGATTAAATTGACGCCAACTGACATTTCTGCCTTGTTTGCCCTTCCCCCTCTTTAGTTAAGGAGGAGAGGGGTTGTGTGCTTTCTGTTATGATTGTGCTCAAACCAACTCTGTGTTACATACTTCTAATCAACTATTTGTTCGGATCTCTTTTTCTCTAGCATTTCAGGCAACAGGGAATGGTCTGTCCAAAGCTTGTGCTAAAGATAACCAAACTGTTTTTTTAGCATTCAGCGACCACAGATCCTATGAGGCTTTTAAAGCTCTACTTTGGCTGAGACTCATGGGAGAGGCCGACAAAATAACAGTCGTTTTTATCTCTGTTAAAATGTCAGTCTTCTCAAATTTTACTGTCCAGTACAGTAGAAGCTACCAATTTAGCTTAGAACATGGACAAAAACTCTTGTTAATTTCTTTTTTGTTTCTCCAGAAAGACACTTAGGGACAAAAATCCACTGAGAAAATAAATTGTGAGGCAGAGGTCAGAGCCTAGTTTGGAAAGGGGGATGGTACGACTTTGGCACCGCAACATGACTTTAAGACCAGAAGCATGGAGCATTTCTGATGAAGAGCAAAGACACTTTGCTTTATGTCCCAGTATTTGGCATTTATAGTCTAGAATGTAGCTGTAAGCAGACATTAGTGTATAGTAATGTATTTGTTAACAGCTATAATTCCTCATTTGGACACCCCTAAGTGGAGGCTGGTGTACAAACAGCTATTGGATGACAGTATAGTAAAACACAGTTGTGATAATATAAAATATGCCTTCATAGAAGAAATGACAATTGCTACATTACATTACATTAGAAAGCAATGCAGCGTTACCACTGTCTTAAACTCTAACTAGACACAGTACACATAAAGTCTACGGACGTTACAGTTTCCTGATTTTTGAATGAAAACTTCCGTCTCAGTTCGAAATTAAAAACTGCATAGTAAACAGAACGTGTATTAAGTTTCAATAAGCCTGATGTTCTGTAGCTAAGCAGTGTACAGACCTGTCATGGCACCTGAATACACAAAAACACATTTTTATGAGTGGGAGAGGAACAAATCCATTATGATTCATCATGAATCATCCCAAAAGACTAAATGGTTCTGCAGTGGAATTATAGATAAGGACACTGACTATGCAGATAAATAGTATTACTTGATATATGGAGCTACTTGCTTGAATCTGGTAAATGCCTTTGAGCTTCATAAAAAAGTATTTAAATGTGAATTGTAAACTCTTTTAAAGCAGAAATCCTCTTCACAGCAGTGTGATTCAGTCAGATGCTGGGGAAGTGCAGGCGATGTGAGAAAAATTAAAGATGAAGAACGTGCTTACCGCACATCAAATAACTCTGGACCAACTTAAAGCTAGGTGATGTTTATTTTATTTTATTTATCATCTGAAAGGGAGATGAAAATTTCAATTTCAAAGTGTACATTTTTCATTAACCTCCTACGAGAATATCAGGCTTTTGTTTGAGACAGTCTGTCTTTAG